GTTGCTGCACGCGAAGTTGCATGTGCGAGACTCTTTTGGTGGGCGGGTGTTCGCGTTTAATCCCGCCCACCATTTCCCCTCTAATAGACAGGTGGTAGGGTGACCGTCGCGCCGATTGGCCGCGGACCGGTTCACGAGGTCGTACCCGCATTAATTATTCTAAATAAGTCGTCGCCCCTGCGGCGGCTGATTATAGAGTTTGCAGTGCCATAAATAGAACCCGTTTACAAATCGCGCTCGGGGAATAATGATCGCCGCGCGCTGAGTCCGCACGTCTCGTTGCTCGCTTTTGGGGAAGGGGACTCGCGAGACGAAAAACCCAATCAATCCCTGACGTCCCAGAGCGGCGATTGGACTCGCCATAGGCGTTTTCTCTTAAGAGACTTCTCAGACTCGCTCGCGGCAACGCGAGTTCTAACGAGGGGATTAAGTTTTGCATTTCAGCGATTTGCCTCTACTTCAATGTATATAACGAGCGATGGACTGGCAGTTCGAATAGAAGCGTTTGTGATAATCTACGTCTGAATGAGAGGAAGAGAAGGGGAGGAGAGAGAGGGAGAGAGAAATGACATGACCTACGATAAATTGTAATTGTTGCTGAATGATGTATTGTGTGATTGAAAATTTTCAGTCACATGCCATTTTTATATCTACTTTTGTGAAATTTATTTAATAGAAAACGTAACAATTTATAGAATGTAAATAATTTTAATGATAAAAAAACACTATGAAATCATAATAACTGAGAATAATGTTATAAGAAAATTTATAATCGTTAAATATAAAAAATATGTATGTATCAGCGAAAATAATGTGTGTGTAAATATAGCTACATTATACAATTGTATAATGTATTGCATTTTTTATTATTAACTTTTCAATATAAAATTATTATATCAAATTGTTATCAAATTCCTACGACTTAATACATTTTTTATTGTCTATTGACATCCGTAACGATGTCATATCTTCAAAAAAAGAAGTTATTCAATGACGTTATTTAATACATATGATCTTCACTTTAACTCAGTAATCCCATATGGAAATTCTCGTGAAATGTAACTTGACTTGGCTAGACGTTATTGATAGATGGACACGTTACAGTTATTTATGGTTGCTATCTCTATTATTGTTTCTACACGAAGCAATCTTGCAGCTAATGATCGCCCTGCGGCTCACGTGGCAGCTGGTGTCCCTGTAGGTGTGGCCATTAATAAAACCGTCGGCTGTATAACGGCGATCTTACGCTCTTTCGCGAACTTTATGTCGAGGGGAAACAAAGGAAATCGCCTTCTGTTGGGTAGAAATCGAGCCGACAGAAGCCTGGCAATGACAGTCGTCGACGAGAATACGAAGCGCGCGCTCGCCCGGCAAAAAGATATATTTGCCATCCGAAGTCGCTCGCGCGTCCGTCACAGGGAATTGTATATTCTTCTTCTTGGAATTTTGGGTCTTTACGGGAAAGAGGACGAGTGGTAAAACGGACAGACGCACAATTCGCCGATATTATAGTCTACATTGTGGCGACTGAGGACGCCGGTTCTCGAGATAAAGGTACATCCCGGGGTAACGACGTCAGTCGTTGTAGCGGCGTGGATAATCACAGAGAGAATTGCGGTACCTTGCCTTTTACCGATAATGAGGCCTATATTAATGGGAATAATTGTGTATTCAGGTGTGACGGGTATGTGAAAATATAAAAGAAATTAAGTAATAAATCAGTTAGAAATTACAACCGTGCAAAAATATATATATAAAATGTACGTACATCTTTTTTTTAATTTTGTGTCCTGTTTCCACATTGGACGCTATTCTCATAATTAAGAAAAGTAATTATATTTCCCTTGTTGATAAACGACGTTTTACTTATTTTAATATAAGTTGTGCGATTTATTGCCGCGTTACATTAACGTGGCGACTGTTTAATTGTTGCAAAACTATACTCGAACATTTAGCAGCAGAAGTAATTAAATGAGATGATAATCAGCATGTTAATGAAAAAAGATATAAATAACGTCGTTAACACCAGCGAAATTAATAGCTGATGAATTGCGGTATATTATTCGAAGGCCGTCGATATGTACAATAAATGGTGTGAAAAATGATGCTCTCGTAATTTATGACGTTCTACGTAAGGCAAGCGTTGATCAACTGATCGCTGATAAAAATGTTGATTTGCTGAGTGCGAGTATGCTTGTAACTTTCATTTGAAAGCTGACTTCAACGTATTACGTTAATTATACGTTCACTTCTTGCTGCATATTATTCTATCAAATAACGCTAATAACCTTATTAACTCGACACACCTGGCAAAACAATTAGTTCAAGTTTATTACTTTGCAGGAGTTTTGAATTTCTTAAATAATGTATAACTTGTCGCACATAACTCGCAACTGCAATTATCTCATAAAAGATATTCATAAGAAATATATATTATGTGTATATATTAACATAAAAAAGGAAGTAAGTTTCTTCAATTCTTATCTAATACTTAATCCAATACTCTAATCTTATTTCTAATTCTTATTTAATGTGCGTCGCTTGTATAATAAATAAAAATATTTTTCATTTTGAAATATCACGTTACACATTCAATATTATAATAAAAGTAAGCAGCGTTTCGTATTTCCTAGACTTTCCTGGGAAATATATATTTCTGAATTTATCATTTATTGGTTCATGTTTAGATAATGTAATGGTTTAGTTTTTAGATAATGTAATTTTCAAAGTTTATCAGATACACTTACAAACTGATTACATTACCTCTTCCGAAAACTCCTACAGCTCCGGTCAGTCTCGTGTATTTTTGCATCATCACATCGATCAGCGTGTACTTCTAGGCGTGAATGGCAGGTGTCGGGTGTCTCCGCCAATTACCGCGCGAAATACCTGAGTTATCGCGTGCGACCTTTACATCGCGAGGTGAATTACGTTACAGGCTTTAATTGCAACCGTTTTAACGATGAGTCCTTATATATCTCGCGTGCTTGTAATACGTAGTCTCGCTGCTTTCATGTCAGGACCGAATAATGCTTCGAACAGATGAAGTGCATCCCATACGATTAGACATTAAAGAGCTAATGGCCATAATTTTGTTCCGTTGATTAACAGACGAGACGTATCGACATCGTTATTCCACACTTGACGATCGTACCGTAAACAGAGAGAACCTTGCTTGACGAAGAAAAAGGCGTCTCCGACGCCGATTTAATTTGATTCCTGATAAATTGCACAATATGTATAAAAACGCGTAGAATTATTATGATTTTTGAAAACATTTCAGATACTTAGATAATGCCGTTTGTTTTATCGTTATATTAATAGTTTCCGACTTTTACACAAATACTTCAAGTAGATACTTCAAGATCTCACACGCATCCTGATAAAGTATTCCTGAGGTGTTCTTTGAATTTTTAAACATTCAAATGTGATGCGTGCTAAGATTTACGAAGCAGAACTGATTGCGGAAAGTACATTACACGGTAGCTGCATCGTAAAGTCACGTAAAGTGCCAAACAAAGGACTCGGCTATGTTTCTCTCTTTCCAATTGCCCCTTTGAAACATTAGCACGATTAAGCGATCTAGGAATAAGTTACGCCGAGATATAGAGGTAAAAAAAAGTTATACAACGTACACATAGATATAGAGTGAGAGAGGAAGATAAAGGAAAAAGAACAATGGAAAGGGAACAAAGAGAAAAACAGCATCTATCATAGAGTGAGTAATACATTTGTTCGTTAAGCGTCGCAAAGCCGTCGGGACCAAAAAAAAGGAGAATAATAGCGCGGGTCATGGCTGATGGTGTTTGTGCAAATTTTTGTATGAAGCGATTCCGACGCGCAACGATAAAATCCACGTCTCACTAGGATGAAAAGGAAAGAATTAGAAGAGAAAGAAAGAGAGCACACTCTTCGGCTTGAAGAAACGAATTAGCTGGCTTCAGCTTGATCGGGTCGACAACACTGCAGCAGTGGGGAGGAACAAAAGTATGGAGTAGTGGGTAGAACGCAGTGGGAGGGGTGGTAGAATAGGCGTGGTATGACAGGGGAGGGGCAAAAACGTGGGCGAGACCTGAAAGTTGGATACGTGGTGGGGAAAGCGCAAATGGGGCGGAGAGAAGTGGATATTTTCGTTATTGTTCGCAGTGGCGCGGATATTTATATATTCCACGATATTAAATGAATTGTAAGTCTATGTAAACAAAATTTTTAATAGAGTACGTAATATAACAGTTTATCTGTTTCTATAGAATTTTTTTTCAAAGAAGTTGTTATCTATAAATTATTTTATGTAAAACGTTTATATTTTTACATATAAGTAAGATTTATATATACGTTATATATATTATTGACATAACTTTGATTCAGTTTGATAATACGTGATTAAACTTTTGATATAGTAAAATTGATGATATCTTTTGCTATTATTTCATTAAAGAAGAAAAGAGCTTTTTTTGTTTCTTCTTTATTAGTGATATCTGCGCAGCGTTGTGTGACCAAATTAAACCGTACAGATTAAATTAGATTGTACATTACATAAATTATACAGATCAATCTTCCAAATGGAAATAATTGATTTGTATGTTCAATTGTTATTTATATAAGTATAAAAAATAAAATTTTTTAATCCCATTGACAAATGAGAAGGTAAAATTTTCATCTATTAATTAACCGGTTATGGCAAAAGAATGGAATCTTATCGTAGAACAGGAGCCTGGAGGAAGGCGTCCGTAACATTGATCCGTAGGAAATTCGTGAGTGCAGTCCCCTACTATCCGTACCATTGGTGGTGGGGATGACGACAGGCGGAAGGGAGTACGGTACACCTTACGCCAGTGGGCGGAGCCTTTGACCGAAGAGTTAATAGAGATACAATCGAGGGTGTCTAGTGCACTGCACTCCGGACTGCGGCGTAGGAGGAGTGAAGGGATAGGGGTGAGGGGGGACATGCGGTAAGTAGGGACCCCGGGTCCCCTAGTTTAGACATCACCGAGCGACGGATGGACAGCCAGTCAGACCCGTCACAGCACTCGCTGGAGTACTCGGAAACCTCGGGAAAAGCCGATAGTCCTCAACTTGGACCGGCTCCAAAGACGAGCCGATAATTAATACGAGCTGGGCGCACCAAATCATACTGGACACATGAATAGTTCTAAGAGCTCCTACGTGATCCTTTTGCGATACATTTACAACATGTTCGAAACGATAATGACGGATTCGGTGATGCAGAAAAATTAATTAAACACAGTGAACGACAAGATCATGCGATCACAAAGTAATTCGCCTTTGAGGAATGCAGCGCGTGGACAGTTGTTCGGCGGATATTGGTGACACGTGAATAGTGTTTACGAGTAGACTTTCGTTGAAATTAACGATTCAGAGATTTGCATTCGATACGTGACGGATCGACGGATTTTTAATTAACGCAACAGAACGGCTCATTGGCACAGCAGTGGACAGTGAAACGTGTTAAGTTTTCTTGTGAATATGTCCGCGACGAGGTAGTGTCGCTATTAACTTTCCGTTTCATTTTAATAGACAAAAAGTATATTTATATATAACAAAATGAGCGTAGCACTTGTGACTATGGATTCCGCGTATGGTCTGCGACTGGGAAGTTCGGGTCATCATCATCGCCATCACCGTCATGTATTGTCGTCGGATAGCCACGAATCAGTGCAGAATCAAGATCCTCAGGCGGATCACCAGCAAGACACCGAGGCACCGCTGCGTTTCAGTGTCGTTAATATTCTCAAGCCAGATTTCGGTCGGGAGGCCATTCTGACAAAGACGTCAAAGCCATCGATCTCTACCGTGTCATTGGCGCGATGCAGCCCGCTTCCGTTTCCGCGTGACCTTAGCCTGTCGTCCTCACGATTGTCACCGCAACCGATCTACAAAGAAAAGATTGCTTTACGTCCCACTGCGGACTCGTGTCACCATTGCAAAGGCATAACGGACTCAGCAGAAGCGGCAGTCTTGAAAGTCTCGCGTCCAGCAGGAGTTCGGTCACCAGTAGCACGGTCACTGGCCCATCCTCTTTATGTTCTACGTCATCCACGGTCGGCTCCGAATCTCTAAACAGCGACAACACATCTGGCAATACCAGTGGCACGGCAAGTCAGCAAAACGGCACTAATGGTCAGAGCCAATTGTGGCCGGCGTGGGTGTATTGCACCAGATACTCGGACAGACCGTCTTCCGGTAAATTTAACATATTTCTTTTGTCCTGTTACTATATGTTGATATATATCTCATTAATATGTAACTTTTACTTGTAAATAGTTGTCGCATGTCGAGAGAAGAGAGAAGAGATCGCATCTTATTTTAATGATAAGATGCAAAAAATCATATCGTCTAATTTTATTTGTCTATTTTTAACGTAACGTAATTTTTTATGCTACTTCGCTACGAGTATCATAACTTCGCGTTTGACTATTGAACTGGAACGTCTAACGATGCACGTTAAAAAGCAAACAAGTTAGAAATTCATCAGATTTCCGTGCGCGTCGTACGTGACTTGCGTTTAGCTTTGCACATGCAAGAAGAACTTGCGTGATTGCAACGCGTCGGAAGTGTCTATCAAGATGTTTTGTTCACTTATGCGCTCCATAATGCGCTCCAGTTACAAAATCACGATCGACCGCTAATTAAAATCCCTACCAAAGCGTTTGAAAAATTATGCGGCATGAAGATAAGTAAAAATCCTTTCACGAGCAAAACACGTGGCTCTCATCCGGGCTTATCGGGCACGAGTTTTGTTGACCTGAAAGTCACGGATCGAGGAAAAAGTCGCTCCCCGTCGCATTTCTGTGCGATTAGCGGGGGCTTAAAGTGATCGTCACTTTTTACATATATATATATAATCGCGCTCTTCTCGCATGAATTATACTTTCTCGGTTTAGCGACTCTATTCGTTTCGATAAAAAGAAGAGAGAAGGTAGGATAAAGTAGGCTCGAGACGTACGAATGCGGCGCACGAGGGGAACGCGATGCCTAATGGTACGAATACACGAAACGAACAGGCACGACATATGAATCGCGATCGTAACCGTCGCGTTCGTACATCGATGAACTTATTTAAGTGATTAATCGCCCGCGCGAACTCTCCGCGCCAACGGCGTTCAACTCGCGAGCCGTGATTACCCGCGACGCCTCGCCGACAAATTGCGGCGCGATCTCTGCCTCGAGAGTGTCTAATTACGCGTTCGCGTTAGATAACAGTTCGCTCCACAAATAAATTATGCGATGTGGCCAACGTACGGACCCTAATGTCTATCTCGCCGTTCGATATTACCGCAATAAGTTATTACGCTTCGCGCGGGAGATCATTGGGAACGTCGTACGAAAGGATCGTGGAGCTAAATCTAATTGCAAGTATAGCTAGGCGAAGCTGACGTACGATGCCCGATGCCACCTGCGCTCGTTCGCAGAACTTAATTGTGAAGAACCTACATTTCTATGAACTACCCTCTGCAATCACTGTCCCACATACGCTATTTTTCCGTCTTCTTTGTCGCTTCTTCTCTTCCTCTCTTCGTTTCTGTCTCTTTCTCGGGTGAATGCCCACAAGTTTTCCTAGGCCGCTACGGATCGAGGGATGATCCCTGAATTTCAATCCGATAATCTTGTTACTAATCGTCAAGAATCGCCGTATCTTCCGCGAGCCTTATCTTCATCGTCGAGCGTTCTAATTCTTGAATGCAGTTTCGTTCGTGTATAATATTTTGTACCATTTAAAGATATATCTTAATGGTACAAGTAAGAATAAAAACTTTATACGTGTCAATTTATGTGTCATTTCTATAAATTCTTTTAGCTTCCAAGAAACATTTTATGGCACGACCTTGTTTAAATGAACAATTTCTCGAGGAAATACGTATAGAACAACATTAGCATTATTAATGAGAGAGACAAAAGACTAAAAACCGATAAAGTAGAAATTATCATATAAATATATAATCATTCAGTAATCATTCGTAAATAATGAATGGAATGTCATTCATTATTTATGATTGGGACAAAAACTATTATTACGGCAAGAAGATCACAGTGGCATTTTCTTGTGGTAATAAAATTATTGTTGGGTATTTTTAAAGCGAGGATAATATTGGCAATAATATTAACGTTCGATCGGAATACCCGAGTTAACGCGTGATCAGATATCTTTTTTAAATTCACAACGCAACACGTGATTTCTTTCAGAAGTAATAATGATGAGGATAATTATATGTATTTATATCGTATATCAGTAATAATTATATTTCGACGTGGGGATATATTTGAAGCTACAAACAGCCAAAACGATCGGTTAACGGTTTCTTTCAAGATAATAATAACATCGACGATAACTGCAGCGTGCGCAAAAGTACTACGGATGTATTCCAGCTCTACGTGGTTGCGTTATCTATGTAGTTAAACAAAAATCAAAAGCATGTAACGTTAATGTTCAGAGTTCTCACCGATGAACGTTAGCTTCGATAGGATACAACACAGATCGGAGTATTCGTTATCGCGCTTAAAAGCATGCTTCGCAAAATTTCGATCGTTAACACGAGAAAGAAAGCATATGCGTGATTCAATTTTTCAATATAACATAATCACATTAGGTCATATAACGTTAGGGAGAATAAACGAGAAGCGTTTAGGAATCGCGGGAAATTGTAACTCGCATATGAGTGCATATGAGTAATTTAAGGTACGCCGCGGTCGGAGCGACTATTTCCGCCTTCGTTAAATTCCAAAGCGTTTGCTCAGATATAGTTATCTCCGAGTGTCCTTCCTACGAAGCGAGCGTGCACTCTCGTGGTCGCGAGAAAACGCTGAATCACGACGGTGTGTGGACAAATTGATGAGAACGCCTACTTTCCCCGCGATAATGCTCCCCGCCTCGCTCGTTGCCTCGAACTTGAGGCACACAAAAGTTGCGGCACACCAGGGATTAATGCGGACTTCCTTTTGTCGTTGCAGGACCGCGTACGAGACGAGTGAAACGTTCGCAGAGCGGGAAGGACGGCACGCCGGAAGAGAAGAGGCCCAGGACGGCCTTCAGCGCCGAGCAACTGGCCAGGCTGAAGCGAGAATTCGCGGAGAATCGATATTTGACGGAGAGAAGAAGGCAGCAACTCTCGCGGGACCTAAACCTGAATGAGGCGCAGATCAAGATCTGGTTTCAGAATAAGAGGGCGAAGATAAAGAAGGCGAGTGGGCAGAAAAATCCATTGGCCCTTCAGTTGATGGCGCAAGGTCTTTACAATCATTCCACCGTGCCGATAGACGAGGACGGCGAAGAGATCGTAACCGGAAGGAATCATTGAGAGTCGTATAAACGTTCAAACAGCAGCAGCAACAGAGAGCCAGATATTAGAGCCATAGAATGATACGTGACATTGCAGACACTTAAAAATCCGCTGTGTGTTGACCGCTGTTAAAGGAAAGTCACTCAAATATTATTTATAAAAGAATTCGTATGATAATGTCAAGAATTATGGAATAAAGACTGAAGATAAAGTATGAGGATCGCAACGATATATATAATCATAATAGTGCAATTGAAGATTATTGATAATTAAATCAGTATACTCAATGAATACTGAAAAATATGATTTTATTGTCTTAAAAATTAGCAAAGAAATTGTATAGTATATTGTAAAAAATTATTTGGGTTTAACATTCTTATCTTTAAAGTAAACGAATTCGAATAATTTTGAATAAACAAAATTACATGTTTTTTTATAAAAGTAGCTAGAAGAACAGAAGTACGAGATTTTTAAAGAAAATAAATCAGTGTCCATATATAACTGATAGATACATTTTATTCCTATGAAAATTTTCATGAAAGTTCTCTATTATCAATGCATTACTTCCTCACAAAAGAAGAAAGAGTTGTACATGGTATACTACTTTTTAAATACGTTTCAAATCGGGAGATCGGTTTGATCGTATGAAGAGAACTATTCCTAGTATGGAGAAATTGAAATTTAAATTAGCAAACTGTTGATATTGAAATTCTTATACTTATCGGCTATACATGTAAATTAATTAGCACGTAAGACTAGTTTCCTATCAATTTAAGCATAAATTATTTATTTGTACATAGTGTGTAAATATAGCGATAGTTCTTCCTCTTGTGCATATGTAAGATATCAACTAAAGATTAGATGACAGTGTTATACTACACTATGTGAAACGATCTCGCATTGTATATACATCCTCCTTCTTATCACAAACCTAGATACATATGTTATACAGATATAGATGGAAAGTACGTATAACGTATATATCCCAGTGTTTTTGCAATAAGCGCGTTCATAATATTCTATGTAATCCGCTTATATTTCATTGCCGATTAAAGTAAAAAGTATGTTTTATCCTATGCATTCTCTCTTCCTTTTTCTCCCTTGGAACATATTAATAATAAGTACCAATAAGTATCAATAAGTAAATAGTAATTAACATGAATATTTCACGCGGAATAATGATATTGATAAAGCAAAATTTGAAAATAATGCGATCTTGGTAACAATAATTAGGATAATGAGGATGGATAAGTGACCTTGCATTTTCAATCTTATCGCGTTTTGCGAGAGGAACAAATATAAATAAATATTTTTTTGCCGATATTTTGTTGCTGTTCGAAATAATTCGAATTTCATATTTTCAATTCTATTTATCACTTAGAATAGTGCTATCAATACTAAGCAATTCAAGGTGTATTATATTCCTCACATACATAATGATGTAATAACATGATTGTTAATTAAATCATAGACACAACAGAATATATATTCCTAGTAGTAATAAATTATAAAATTAAAGAAAAAGTCGCCAAGCAATTTCTACAAGTAATGCAATAAATCATAAAAATAAGAATAATAATTAATATTATAAAGCATAGTTTCTCTAAAAAAAAAAACTCATTCTCGCATCACATTGCGTTTATGTAAAATTTATAGAAATAAATGCAACAACTTGTAATGAACGTAATAGTTCAATCGCCAATTGAACGCTGAACAATTACGTCATTGAGAGGCGCTTAGAAACGCCGACATGGTATAAGCACTAAATTAAAATTATCCCCGCGTTAATTAGCATCGTTATACTGGCGTTTTCTATGCTTTCCACGTGGAAAGCACGCGCGTGCGCTCGGCAAACTCACGTTTTTGGAAAGGCGTTCCATTTCATCGGGAAAACTCTCAAAGTTCATTTTCGGTAAAGCGTCGCGTTAATTGATCTTGCACTAATGAGCCATCCGGTATCTCGAGCGCGGTAAGCGTAACGTCGAGATACTCAAGTGGAAGTCTGGCCAATGTGACATGTGATCCTCGTTATTGCTATTAGTTTTGTTCTACTTTGGTACGTTGAAATGCCATTGACGTGCCACGCGTATCTAGATTAGCAAATTCAAATATTAAATATGCGTTTTAATGATAAATTAAAATGTATACAGGTGCATATAGCATATAGGTGCGTATATAAAATTTTAATAGATACAAATTTACAAAAAAATAATGATTATCATTTAATATTCTTTTGTTATGCTTACTAGCTCGATACTGAAGGGAATTTTATATTCTTTATATATTGTCTTCTTTCAATTAGAAGAAGAAATTTTGTTTTCTTTGTCAATTCCATTTGCTTGAAAGTACGGTGAATCAGTAAATATCGGCTTTGAGGTGTTTCCAACGGAATACAATCGAGGACAGTAGGTCCGTCAATATTCGAGTTCACACGCGGACTGCATTGTGGCGATCGACACGGGATAAGCGATATAGGCGCGCACCTGTTAGGCGATATGGTGTGTACACGTATGCGTTCATAGAGATCGGATTTACGAGCGTGATTTTTTTTTCTGGCATCGTGTGTAGCAAAGCTATCGGCAGTGATACGGCGTGAAAGGATTATGGTCGTCAAAAGTGCGAGAAAATATCGCACACGTGTGTTGCTTAAATCTGAGGTATCAAAAATAAAGAGCAAATACATATAATGCACGTATAAAAGTATATGAGCAATAAAAAAATCGTGTAATTGCAATGGCATTTTTAGGAGTTAAATAAAGCTTAAAATAGTTTTTTAGAGATTAAAAAAAGAACACTATGACTTTGAGCCAACATTGCAAGTTTGTTAAAAAATATCGGTACGTGGTTGGCAGTATAAAATAATTATCTTGAATTTATATATGTAAATCCGAAAAAAGAAATTATTAGAAATTATTAGAATTATTAGAAATTATTACCTGTCTGTCGAATAATATTTACATTGTAAATATTACGAAATGTTGTTCTTTTTTTATTTCACGTTGTTCTATTTAGAAAAAAAAGAGTTGTTTATTTCTTGTTTAATTCCGTTTTTGATGTGGAAAGACTACCTGTCAGTTGTGAATATCTAAATTTTATTATTATTTATTATTTATTATTTAAGTATGGAGTAAATATATAGTTATAAATTTATTAAATTGTGATGGATTAAGGACATATTAAAATGATAATAAGCGTTCGATGTAACGAGAAAATTACTACGTCGCGCGCGATGTAATCAAATAATAAGATTATAATTGCCCAAAAAGACTTTCAAACTGTTATTAAAAATTGGAATCAAGTATGTAACTACGCTGATAATTACGAAAACGCCACAAATTGGGTCACAAATTTTTCATGAACTCATGTATTAGCACGTTCTATTATTATTAAAAGCGATTAGTGACTTTTATACCTTAAGCACTGGTCGTTTATTCGCTAATCGACATTCCGTAATGACCTATGTCAATTAATTACAGCGAACAGGAACTAAGCAGCGTATGTCTTGCGCGAGATCGTAGGACTTGCAAATTCGCGTTATTCGGCTTTTATCGACACGTGCTTTAAATATATGTACATCTGTGTGTTAAGAAATCGCATCGTTTATGCGTATATCATATATTATTAATCAGCATAAATTTAATGTCAAAGAAACGAGCATGGATAATGACTCATTAGAGGATTTATATGCACGGCCACGATGGAATAATTTACAGAATTGTTGATTATCGTCCCTAATATAGCGGCGAAGCACAATCGACAATTATATTGGTATATGCATAAACTTAGCGAGGTTACATCGTTAAAGGTATACTGTGCGCTTTGATTCTTAAGTAATAATTACTTGCCAGTCACATTATATTTATATTAATTATCCGAACAAGAGACAACGTCTGTAAATTTGCTAAACGAGATATTTTTGTATAATCCACTGATAATCACCCGACCCATATTTCACGGGCAACGCCGGTGACGTCCGTCGTGCATTATTACTTATCATTAATTTAAACGTGGCGAACGCTGGACGGGGTCGAATGGTCGCGGAACGCGCTCGCGCGGAAGGGGCAACGACGACCTCCACCGTCGTTGGAAACAAACGCACGGGTGGTGGCCCAAACCGGGGATAAATTACAGAGTCGTTGTCCTGGCCATTGTATTTTAACTGCGGCGATGCGTAATTGCTGGAACGCCGTTGCATACGCGGGTGAGAGGGAAAGAGGGATCTCACGGGAGAGATCCGATAGGAAGTGAGAAGGAGAAACGAAAGGGAGGACGCGACGTGGCGGAGAACGAGTTAGAAACGTAGGAAGGGACGCGGTATGAGGGACTATGCTTGTCGAGAGAGAGAGAGAGAGAGAGAGAGAGAGAGAGAGAGAGAGAGAGAGAGAGAGAGAGAGAGAGAGAGAGAGAGAGAGAGAGAGAGAGGAGG